CGCTTCATGACACTGAGTATAGTCGCAGAGTCCAGCGTGACTTTTGCGGTAGCTTACAAAATAGAGAATTTGCGACAGATACAAGCCATGTTTGCACATTACGGTTCGCAATGGCTGGCTTTTGTAACTCAACATGGTTAATTCAGAATAATTTTAAGAAGCTTCCAAAGGAATCGTGTGATCGATTCAATAAGTTGTGAAAACTAGAGGACTTAATATAGGCATATTGTCTTTCGGCGATCTAGTATTAATCATTGACTCTAATAACCTATTTTCTTAAAGATTGTTTGTACTCTAATATATCTTATTTTCTAATGTCGTAAAGGGCAAAGCCCACAATGCCCTTCTGCTAGTTTCCAAATATTCAAATGTAACTGAAAGCCTTGTCTCTTTTTTTTTAACTTGTTCCAGGTAGTGTGCTGCTTTAACCTTTCGCAATCTATCACCAGCACTAGCGTGACATTCACACAGGCTTTCAGCTTTCTGCAGTGTGTAGTTTATTTATGCGGGTCAGTAGAGTCTGTTCTGCTGACCTTAGCCGTTTTCCAAAAAATGAATATAGTAGAAAACACGCAAGACAGTGTCCGAAATGAAATAGACGAATGAAGCGTCGACATTTGTTGACACTATAAAGTATGTCGGATGGCATTCAGAAATTTTTATGGGTCATGTGCGTGAAAAGCTTGCGCACCTTTGTCATCCTAGGCTGATGTGTTACTTTAATAATTTCCTTTCTCTCTTCTTCACCAGACCGACATCGGATGTGGTGTACTGGTGGAGTCGTCGACGCTACAAGTGCTCCGCAAGGCCGCCAAGTCTTCTGGCTGTAAATTCGCTCGAAGCCTTGTAAAGGTACTTTTTCCAAATGACTCATGGAAGGAAAAGTCCCTCCATGGGCGTAGAAGTAATGCGCACAAGGACATTGATGCAAAAGAAGCCCTGGACCCGACCATCGTAAAGGCCATACTAGGTATGTTCTGTTTCCATCTTGTCGTGAATTTTTATTTTGTGAGGATTGTCCGCTAACCTGCTAGTATATGTACCGTATTTACTCGAAAATAAGTCCAGCATGAATAAAGGGCAAGCTCCTAAAAATTGAATTTGACAAGAATAGCAAATAACAAACAAACTTTTAAGAGAAGAGCAGAGGAAACATTGAACACAGCACACCATTATTAGCCGCATGCTCGGCTAAATCTCAATACTCTGTGCCATAAGCTCCATCATAATCGGAACATTCAGAAAATTACTCTTCCTTCAATGGTTCGCTGGTGTGTTTGGGTCGGGGTTCGCAATAGGTAAAATGGCGTCCCACTGGTTCTGCCATGCTCTAATCAGCTTCTTACTGTTGTCAAACCCTCAGCAAACAGTATCACGCGAAGCTCAATGTCTACAGTCTAACTCATCCAGTCCAGCGTCGTCGTAACTCGACAGCAAATGCAAAACGCCGCTGAGAAATAGCGCCACCTGCCGAAGAAGGAAGCAAAACAAATGAATGAAACGGTGCGGCAGCAGATAGTTTTGTATGTGACCTCTCTTCCTAGCGGAGAGGTGGCACTACTCTGCATCGCATTGACACTCCCAAGGCACCTAGTCGAGCCGCTCTGGATCTTGATTATAAGTCTACCCATATTTTTGGGTAGCATTTCCCGGAAAAAGAAAGTCTACCTACAGGGTGATTTAAGGAGACGCCAGGCCCTTTAAATCGACCGCAAAATTCGGTTTATTAACCTATCATGCTACAACTTTGTGCAGCATTGCCCACAGATGGTGCATTTTTTTTGTAAAATTTGCAAAGAACGAACTTACCTGAGGAAAAAGTAAAGAAAGAAAAAGGCTTAGCTCCTTTGGAAACTCAGGAACGCCACCGGTCTTCAAACAACACGGCGCCGTTTTACACGGGAGCCAAGAGATGGCGCAACAAACGAGCATACGGCGCCGAGAGCTGTCGTCTTTAGCAGACAATCTTTTCGACTCAAAAGCGGCGCCCGTTCCGCAGGCGGCGACAGTCACAAAAACAGGCGCGTTAACAACAAGGAACTGCAGTTCCTTGTCTGCTAAAGACGCCGGCTCTCGGCGTCGTATGCTCGTTCGTTGGCGGCAGTTGGCGTCGCGACCGCTTGTGCCATCTCTTGTCTCCCGTGCGAAACAGTGCCGTGTTGTTTGAAGACCGGTGGCGTCGCTGCGTTTCCATAGGAGCTAAGCCTTTTTCTTTCTTTACTCTTTCCTCAGATAAGTTCGCTCTTTGCAAATTTCACACAAAAAAAAATGCACCATCTGTGGGCAATGCCGAACAAAGTCGTAGCGCGATAGGTTAAGGAACCGAATTTTGCGGTCGATTTTAAGAGCCTGGCGTCTCCTTGATTCACCCTGTATGTTCAAATAAATATGGTATGTATATATCAATGGTTACTTCATGTCTTTTAATCTTGTGCAACACAACATGACTTCAGCTATGAGGAAGCAACCTCATAATGCCTGCTAGTGCTCTCTACTGTGCTATTAACTTCTGACAGTGAAATTGGGGATTGAACTTGAATAGTATGTCAAATTTCTGAGCTCATTGAACTGATTCTGACATTTCCGCACTGCCAGTGACTACTCAGGGCGCACCAGTACGATGCGGCAAAGCTTCAGCCCCTGGCACAGGGGACGCTACTACAAATGCTTGTCATTAGTAGAGGAGCTGTATCTCTATACGGCGAGGAAGTCGTCTGCTTATGCGGAGAGGGTAGAGGTGTCAAGGAGTGACATCACGACGCCACACCTGATATGAGGATGCTAACATGGGTTAACATCGCTCTGTTGTCTGCTGGTCGTAGCAGTGGCTGCTCTGCCTTGGCTGTCAGAGGTCCACCAATTCTGTATGAACCAGGACTCGCCCTTCATCAAACAGAAGAAATAGCTCAAAGGTTAAGTTAAGCACGGGTAAGTTGTCACTCCTTTGTTTTTAGCTGCATATTACTCCGGGAATCCCCACACGTCAAATGAGTTGCTTAAAGAGAAGCAGTAAAAGACTGGGGACTGGAGATATGGCGGCTGGAAACAATTCGACCCTTTGATCGGTGCCACTTTTCTGTGCAGATCAATGCTCCTACTGCTCTGTCGCTGCTTCTTCATACGTTTGCACTGCATGTACACATTGAGTAGGCTAACTGTTTTTTCGAGTGTCCCTTAGCCGGATAGAGAAACATGATTGAACAAGAGGCGACTGAGTGTATGCCTCGCTTCGACCTGCAACACAAGCTGCAATATTCACACTGCCATGTTGTTTCCAGCCACCACACCTCCAGTTCTCCGCCGTTTGCTGCTTCTCTTTGCACAACTCATTTAATGTGATGGGATTCACGAAGCTAATATGCAGATGAAATCATAGGGACAGCTTACCCACACCGAGGGAGAGAGCTGCCGTAGCCTGCCCCACTTTGGGTGTTGTTGACACAGCTGTGCCGAAGACCCATCTTGGAACCCCCTGCGAGGGCGTGTAAAGGGCAATCCCCTTTGGTTGGACCAAAGTAACCTTGGAGCTATTTCCTCTCCCATTTTACTAAGGGCGAGTCCTAGTTCATACAGAATAGGTGGATCTTGGACAGCCAAGGCAGGGCAGCCACTACTACTGCCAGCAGACAACAGAGCTATGTTTCCCCAGGTTAGCATCCTCATATCAGCGCGGCGGCGTGACGTCACTGTTGACATCTCCTGTACCCTCTCTGCGAGAAGCAGACGGCTTGGTCGCCGTATACTCTATCTTAGCATTTCTCTCCTCGGACTGCACCCTATTTCCTCTTTGTTCTTTCAGTTTTGTATGGATTGTTCACTCTAGTAGTCTGCCTTTGTGTTCTTCAAGGGGCAGCAGAGACATCTTGTGCATTGATGCTGTTATCTCCGCATGTCAAAACTCATCTGGGGTTAGATTTTGCTCATTGGTGTCGACTGTAGTTGAACGGTTGGACAATATTTAACCGAGGCTTTTTCACCTATAGCCAGATGGTAAGAATTGCGCCTGCTTGTTCCAAGCGCTCATTTGTTCATCGGTCACCGTCAGTTTGTTTGACTGCAAAGTAGATTGAAAGCTGCTAATGAAGCTGATGTTATGTCTTAAGTAATGCATATTCCTTTCTTTTCAGGGTACACCTGCATGGAATTTGATGTGCAATTGACTGCACTCACAAACAGCCTCTCCTCAATGCTGGCGCGGGGCGTGTGAAAGTGTGTGAAATAAAGTCATTTGGATCATTTCATTTACTGTTTAGTGCCTTAGCAACCCCAATGCTGCACAAAGCAAGATGGCTTTAGCTAGCACAGCTAGCTTTTCAACTGTCTAAAGCCTAATTAATTTGCAACTAAAATAGTTTGTTTCAGATTATCAAAATATATGTCAAAAAAAGTTCTAAAAATACTTTTAAGAATTTTTTGAAAATTTATAAAATAATTAAAAATAAGTTTATACTGCGAACGAAACAAAAATTACGTTAAAAAAGAATTCAACAGAAATTTTGTTAAAATATTTCAACAGAAGTTCCGTCAAAAAGAATTCAACAGAAGTTCTGTCAAAAAGAATTCAACAGAAATTCCGTCAAAAGGAATTCAACAGAAATTCCGTCAAAAAGAATTCAACAGAAATTCTGTTGAAATAATTCAACAGAAGTTCAGTCAAAAGGAATTCAACAGAAATTCTGTTGAAATAATTCAACAGAAGTTCAGTCAAAAGGAATTCAACAAAATTTTTGTAAGAAGGAATTCTAAAAAATTTAAGTGGCCAATTTTAACTAGGAATTCAATAAGATGTCAAAATAAACTCTGAAAAAATTAAAAAGAGTTTAAAAAGAAATTCAATAGGATTCCAGAAATTTTTCAACAGAAATTCAAAAGAATTTAACTACAGATTTTTGTAAGGGCAGGCTGACCTCTCTGACTTGTTATCATCGACGCCGATCGATCAACTTGCGAAACGGAAAAGGTGCTTTCAGGGTTGCTTCCCGAGCCCAAAGAATACGCACCGCGAGCGGTAGGAAGATCATGAGGACCGGCAGCTTGAAGTCCCTCCGACCATAGTGGAACCTCTTGAGGAGCAGTGCCCCGACCCGCTGCCTGAACTGTGGTCGGACGCCCCCGGAACAGTCCTTGTTCGCGTCCACCAGGGCGCACGGACAGTCCGGCAACTCGGGCGTGCCTCCGTCACTGCGGTCTGGGTCGTCAGATCCTTGCTCGACCCTGCCCCGATATATCACTAAGTCAGTCCACGAAATGAGCTATAGTCTGCAGGCCAAAAACATTTTAGTATTGGTGCTTAAAATTATTATAGGCCATCTGCCAAATTCCTCACTGCCATCGTCATGCCAGTCGGAGCCGCCATATTGGAGGGGTTTTACGTTTATCTGAGGACAAGGCGCATCTGTATTCAACTCGGTCTTCGGATATTATTGGAACGTAAGTGTACATCCATGGGTTGCTATTCAATTTCGGTGTAACAAAGGAAAAAAGGACGGCCGCGAGATTCTAGGAAAGAAATTGTCTGCAACGACGTCGCGAGACTCGTCACTAAAGAAATAAACTGGGCCATCCACGAGGGCGAACGGTTTTTATAAAAGACGTTGTGTGATGGGACTAAACTGGCAGTACGTGATCATACTTTAGAATTTTAGATTCACAACTCCAACTCTACCGGAGCCTATCTGTCATGCGAACTATTGGTACGGAAACCACCCAATATGGCGGAAGTTTAATATTTGATTATAAGTACACGAGAATTCACCTCTTTCAATCTGGAATCGCAAAAAAAAAAAATTTTTTTTTCGCTGCCCAGAAAAACAAAAGTCAGCGACAGAGCAATACAATATTGCCTGAGCTTTCAATCACCATATCTACAGCTCAAGAAGGCGTATTTCTGATTAACACGCACTACAGCGCACTAGTGCAAAAGTACGCTCACACCGTAGACTCATTCCTTACAGCGTACCACAGCGCACTACTGCGAAAGTACCTCCCACCGTACACTCATTCCTTACACAAGAAAAAAAAAAAAGAAAACAAAGCAAACGCGCTGCGCGGTTCCTTAGCTTGTCATTTCCTTTTATGTTTTTGTGATTCAGATTTGTGTACGGGTGTCGGTGTAGTTTGAAAGTTAGGGTACTCTGTGTAGTGGGCAAGGAAATCATTGGAATTGTGAAAGAGGTCTAGGACATGTATATAAAGCGATGGTTGTTCAATAAATATGAAACTGTGTTGCAAACTTCGTTGTTCTTGTCGTTTTTTTTTTTTTTTATTGTTCTTTCGTTTAAGATATCATTCACCAGCTCGCCTCCGTTTTCTACCTTTCTTCAAAGTAAGTCTGTTGACTTCTTTTACTAAAAAGTGGGCCAATATTCAAAAGAAAGTAAACCGAAAAGCTAGAGAAAGTCAGATGAAAAGCTGTTGACATTTTATATCGTTCGATTACTTTTTCAACAGCATTTCAGCAGAAAAGCACCACATTTTTTTAAGGGGATCCTGGTTAAGCGGTTCGCGTGGACGATTCTGGCCTTTACCATGTCATTTAGAAGCATCTAAAACTGAATGCGCCCCATCACAATACGTCATAGAAGGCTGCTTTCTAAAAACAACGAACACCTATGTCTGAAGATTGTTTCACCAAAATCAAGAGTATCAAAATATGGGCCAAGTATGAAAACGAATTTAATTGGCCAGAAGTGGCAAAGCCTCGTCGCCGACGGGAAAATAAACTGTCAAGCATGTATACAAAAACGTTCTGCCAAAAATCAAACGCGAAAACGTGTTTCTCGCTGTTTTTTATTTCTTTACAGAGAGATTTACAAAAGCAATACTCAAGTTGAACTGGTTCCGTTAAAACCATGTTTATAGTATCTGTAGGGTGTATTTCCAGATGTCTTAGTTTTTTTTAAGATTTTGTGTGGAACTATCTATTGTTCAAACATTCACCCGAGTTTCGGAACATAATTTTTGCGGCTATCTGGTCTGCCCTTTATGTTTTTTCACCGAGTGCAATACCTGTTACAAGCCCTAGCGAAAATCAAATACCATTTTTTTACCATGCCGAAGCAGCGGATAGACACAAAACCCAGACTAAATATACCAAAAAGCTGCCGCTAATAAGCGGTGATTCCCACTGTAAGAAGACTTTACGGCGAGCAAGCTCGCCTGCTTCTCGCGCAGTGGGCACAGCGACGCCCCAGCACCGAGCTCTGATTGGGAGAAGGACATGGTGGCTAGTTACATAGGCGTAACATCACAGCAGCGAGATCTGATGGGAAGATATGTAGTGGGTAGGCACGATGGCAGATGCTCGCCTGCTCCTTTCGCAGAGGGTGTTTTGGCGTCAAGGCGTTGAAACAACAAGCACCGGTGTTGCGTCATCTTCGGGTCGTAGGAATGGCTACGTTTTTATGACGACCAACTACTACCGGACGAGCTATAACAAACGACAAATATATGGCCAACGTGTTTGTTATCGTTACTGAAACGCAGGGAGAGTTTCAAGCATCTCATCATCGGTCCGCGGTCAATAAGACTGCTTCATTAACCGATCAGAAGGCCTAACGAGAAATCGCCGAGCAGAAAGCGAGAAGCAATGCCTTGTGCTTCCTGTCAGCGAGTATACCCACCAAAGATAGTGAAGTCTGCTGGGTGTTGCTTTATCGCCCACGTGATCACCCCTTCTCACCTTTTTGCGCCTCCACCTCTCATACGCCCAGAGACTACCCACTGTTTCACGCCTCCTCTGTCAAGGCATAAGTGACGCGTGTTGATGGACTTGCTCGGCTTATATACCTTTTCCACAAGGGCGCAGCCATCTTGAATGTCGTAGCATGTGCTATGCGTTAAAACATCGTTTTGGTTTCTCCACGCCGCTGGAAGGGGTTCACAAAGAATGCGTTAATGTAACACTTTTTTTTTGTCTCACGTATATTTTCTTGCATATTCCAGGTTGAAATATCTTATTATTTGTTCGTCCCATGTACAAAATATGGAACCCACGTGCCTGAGAATGAAAGGAAACGAAACACGTTTATGTGCGAGCCTACAAGGCGGCGGTTACCTTCTGAGCACGTCTTCGAGGGCCCCCACGGACACCGAGATGGTTTCCAGGAGGAGGGAGTCGCGGTTTTTGTCCAGCCTTTTGAGCAGCCGGATCAGGACCTCCGTGTCGGGATTTCCCACGTTCACGTTGAGTGTCTGGTGGTCATAGGCTTCGACACTCGCACGAGGGACGTGATCTCGCACCAACTGAGTGAGGGCCTTGGCCTGGCTGAAGTTCTTCACTGATGCTTTTATCCAGTATCCCGTGCCTACAGCAAGAAGAACAAGTTACGTGGTGTCAGCATATGCCGGGTTCCTCTAAAGCTTTTTTTACCATATTTTTTATTTGTTTACTTTTATACTTTTGAAGCCCGGAGGCTCTACAGAGAGGAGTAGATGGTACAGATGAAACTGATGGCAAGCTTCTTGAAATATGTAGAGTCATGGATGCACACTATCAGGTCGGGAGTTAGTTGCAATCGTTAAATGTTCTTGGAATAAAGGAGTCAAAATAGATGTTTGTATGACATGTTGGCGTGCCAACCTTACTCTGGCGATCATTGCGAGGTGACACATAGGATGCGTGAAAAGCAGTTGATATTTGAAAACTGGGTTAGCATATTAGATTTTATAAAAAGAGACAAATACGAAGATATGTACTGCTTAAAGCGAACGTAGGTAAGTCCATGGTTGTTTTCCTTGAGTAAACGCTAGCAGTACGGGAATAATTAGGAAGCATAAAACGGACTGCTTTGTTCTGATCTGATTCAGTAATGTTTAATAACGTTAACATGTCGTGAATCTCGAACGAAAGCAAAATGTTCAAGCTTTATCCCGAATAAGGCTCTATGTAATTGTAGTTATACCGGAAGATTAGCGGAAAGGAAGTGGCGGCGCCAAGATCTAAGCGTATGCTTAGCATTGTTAAGTACGAAGTCGACGTGCATGCTCCAGGACTACCAAGATACTTGTATAAAGCAACAGAAGCTAACGGTATATTATTAAGGATGTTCATGGCAGGGTCGGTACCTTTAAGAAGACGGAAGACACGCATGCTTTTACATTCAGTATCGTTAAGCTTCATTACCGAATCAGCGCACCTAATGAAAACTACGTCCAGGTTCGACTGTAGTATAGCAAAATCAGGGAAGTTAGTTATTACGTAATACAGTAAACAGCCAATCACGACCAGTTTAATGGACGACACAGTTTGCGTTGGAAGGTTGTTGATGTAGATTGCAATCAAGAGAGGAACCTGGACAGATCTCTGTGGTACAGCAGGCGTCATAGAGTAGTATAAAAACAATGCTCATTGACAGAAACATATTGTGAGCGGTTAGACAAGAATCATTTATCGAAACCCAAAAGTTTAGCATCGATATAAAGTTTACTCAGTTTAAACACAAGTAGGTAGTGCGAGACAGAGTCGAAAGCCTTGTCAAAATTTAAGAAAAAGCCGTCAACTATAAGTTTAGCATTAAAAGCACGAAACGGGTCATTAGTGGATGATACGAGCTGTGTTTCACAAGAAAACATCTTTTCGAACCCGTGTTGATAATTAGTGAAAAAGAATTGGACTCAAGAAAGGCAACAACTTGAAAGTAAATGATACGTTCAAGTAATTTACATGGAACACTAGTCAATTATACCGGTCTGTAGTTCAATGGGGAGTGAGCATAACTTAATTTCTGCAGGAGAATTACCTTCCCTGCCTTCCAATCGTTGGGCATAGCGCAACATTGTAAAGACTGACAAAAGTTTCAAAAAGGATCAAATATATGCAGTGCGGATGGTCTTCCCAACGAAAAGGTTGTGCAAACTGCTTGACGTGTATCACGAGCCCGTGGTAGGCAGTAACTAAGAGAACAAAAAGAAAGCACCAGTGATTAACATAACGGCCATCAAAAAAAGCATTCTTATAATGCTACCGTTTTAGTAAGTACCACGTTTTTTATTTGACCTATGTAAACTCTAATCCATTCTACTGGACATGTAAACGTCATTACTATTATTTTCGATTCATAGAAACCTATTGTATTTCATGCAACACGCATAAACAGTATTAATAAAATACAAAAAACAAATGATGACGTGATGTTCGTTTTTGCTCTGGCGCAAAACTGCACCTCTAGAAGGCGTCCATCGTGAACACTAACCGGCTAATTTATTAAAAAATCATGTACACCAACGCGCGGCTGTGACGTCACGACGCTGCGGTGGCGCTGGTGGCGGCGCGGCGCATGTGCACATGCTTTGCTATGCGCTAATCTCGCTTTGGGAACACGCAGTGCCCACACCTGGTATGAACAAATACGGACTTGTTTCTAAACAAGGTGTAAGTATGCATACCATAGGTCGCTCTGAGAAACATTGGCGATCCGCAGCAACGTAGCCTTCCCTCGGCCATGACAGCGATGCGGTCTCCCAGGGTGTCGGCCTCTTCCATGCTGTGCGTCGTCACCAGCATGGTCTTGTCCTCGTGGAAGCGGAGTACGCACTCCCACAACGCCCCTTTGCACTCCGGGTCTGCTCCAGACGTCGGTTCGTCCAGGACTACCGTCTGAAAAAAAAAAAAAAAGTAAAGTCGATGTATCTAACGTATATGTCATCTGGCACGTCCCGGCGACTGATCGAGTATAAAATCAATCTTCTTTGGGGTTCTCTAACGTGTAACCAAAGTCACAAGGGGTATTGGTGCCCTATAGCGTGTTAACACGCTGTAACTCGAAGCACGTAGAGTGAAACCTTGAACTGCAGAACCCAGGAATCCTGAGCAAAAAATATTCAAAGCCTGTGCACTAGTATTTAATAGCGGAGCTGTTAAGGGCTAGTTTACCCAGTATCATGTCCGCGGACAAACAAATGTTGACACAAAACTCTGGTCAGCTACCGCCATCTATAAGCGACGACGGCAACCGGACAATCGGTTTGCCGGCTGTCTGGTTGCCGCCTTCGCTCATAGATGGCGGCAACCTTTCCAACCTTTCCACTCTGGTTTTCGCCCGAGTAAAAAGGCTGAATTTCTCTAAACGTCGTCCTAGAAGTCGTCCTTGAGGTCGTTCAAAACTTAGTCTTTGAGGTCTTCCTAGACGTCGTCGTCGAGGTCGTCCTTGAGGTCGTCCAAGAAGTCGTTCTTGAGGTTTTCCTAGACGTCGTCCTCTAGGCGTCGTCCGAGACATCGTTCGCTTGTCCTCCATCTTCACGTCAAGTGTAAGGGCTCTGCTTTTTTTTTTTACTTCATCGCGGCTACATCGAGCAAAGACACACATTGGATGTGAAAGCTACGTCAGCGTTGGGCTGGGCCTCGTGTTCAATCAACACGTTGAAGGACGTTCCGCGTTGGGCTCCGTTTCAATTGCCAAGTTGGCTCCGTCCGACTGTGATGATGTTTCATTGACGTAGAGGAGTATGTTTGCCAGGCCTTGATTATTCCAGGTGGTGTTGCCTCATTCCCCAGCCCTGCCCGTTCCTATCTGGGTGAGAATCGTACCGGTGTGCCGTCGTGCATCAGTGCGGCGTGATGGACGTTAAAGACACAGGGATAGCGGATGGTACTGCACTGGCTAAATTTCTCATCTACAGCTAAGTCACCAGTCACACCCTGAGGCTGACTAGCCTCCCGCTGTATAAGCATACATGAGACAGAATTAATAAAATCGGAAATAAACGGCGCCCACACCAGCCTCAAGCGCAGGAAGGGCTTGAGGCTGGTTCATATTGTTCGGATATTTGCCACGACTGCACCCCACATTGGGTCACAATCCACTCAACTCGTGCGGTTCTCAGTTACTATGAAAATGCGTACAGTAATGTCGAGACCGGTTATAACGAAGTCGGTTATAACGAAATAGCGGCTACAGCGAAGCAATCACGATTTCCCATTCCCTTTTGCGCTTCGTTATAACCGAAAAGGGTATACCGAAATAGCGGATATAGCGAAGTGATTTCTGATTCCCGTTGACTTCGTTACTACCGGTCTCGATAGCAGCATCTCGTTCGTAACCAATCGTAAGCGGTCATAACACAGTCGGTCATTATCAAAGGCCGATGTCTGCATTCGGGTGCAATCTTTAGTTGTATCCACGGAAAGCTCGACTGTGGTTCGAACCAATACAAATTTGCAGCTGGGCTTCGCAGCTGCCTCGATTGCCGAAGAAAGCCTTTTAGAAAATTTTATTTGATTCTAATAATACCAAACTTTCACTATGGTTTGCATTATTTTCCGGATTAAATTCACTTAACTATTCAGAGGCAATAAGAATTTAAAACAATTTATTGAAAATAAGGATCTCCGATCAAAAATAAAAGTACACAAGCGAGCTGTACAGTAAACATAACAATCTAAACTCTCATATAATTATTGACTGCAATCAACAGAAAAACCCTAGCCTTGGGTTGAAAAGGATATCTGTGCTGAGACGCTGACACGCTCAGCATTACACAACAACACCCGATGGCACTTTCTTGGCCAGAAGCTCTTAAATGTGTAATGTGCACGATGTTGCAGGACAGAGCTAGGCGCTTTTCAGACTTAAACTGTTACGAGAACGTCACGCGTGACCTGGTAAATCTGCTGAAGTTTGAGGTTTCAGCATCGCCAGCCACGTCCACTAGATTCACGTGGTGCATCTCGAACTTTGGTGGCAATCGCAATATGTCAGCGCCGCAGCAAGGCTCCTTCGCGGGTGGAGCCTCACTCCCATTGGCTGATGTAAGCCGTTATGTGACCATGGCGACTACCAATGACGTTCTCGCTGGAAGTCGCAGTACCTAAACGATTGCACCGACATTTCCCGGCACAAAATCATAACATACGTACGACAGGACCAAAGTGTTTCCGGGTAATGTACAGGGCCTCAAAAAAAACATTCACATATTGTTTTTTGTTTTTAGAGCACAGCTGTTAGGGGCCCGTTCCCGGCTTGAGCGGCGTCGGCGTCGCCGTCGCCGTCGGCGTAACCAGTCACCCCAAGGTCATCCCAAGGTCACGTGACCCCCAAGGTGTGACCCCCAGAGGTCACGTGACCGTCCCAGGGTCACGTGACCTTGGGGTGACTTTGGGATGACCTTGGGGGTCACGCGACCCCCAAAGTCACGTGACCCCCGAGGTCACGTGACCCACCCTGAAGTCACGTGACACGCCCCCACCCCCCCGAGGTCACGTGACCACCCCCAGGGTCACGTGACCTCCCCGATGACGTCATCGTCACTGATGACGTCACCGGCATCCGCATCGTCATCGTCATCATCACTGATGACATCATCAGTGACGTCACTGATTACCTCACCGGCATCCGCATCGTCATCGTCATCATCGCTGATGGCGTCATCAGTGACGTCACTGATGACGTCACTGGCATCCGCATCGTCATCGTCATCATCACGGATGCCGTCATCAGTGACGTCACTGATGACATCACCGGCATCCGCATCGTCATCGTGATCATCACAGATGACGTCATCAGTGACGTCACTGATGACGTCACCGACATCCGCATCGTCATCGTCATCATCGCTGATGACGTCATCGGAGTCCGCATCGTCATCGTCACTGATTATGTCATCAGTGACGTCACTGATGACATCATCGGCATCGTCACGTGACCCCCAAGGTCACGTGACCCCTCCAGGTCACTTCATCCCCCCAGTACCCTTCCCTCCTCCTCCTCCTCAAGAGCTGCGCTCTAATTCGGTGTTACAGGGAGTTGTAAACGGCTTTCACTTTTTTTTATTGCAAAATTAAATTATTCATCGCCGAATGCTCATTATCCGCCCAGATGTAGTCCTAGAGCTCCAAACCAGCTGTAGAAGTTACATAACTAACATATATCTATACCAAAAGAAAGTTACCAGTGATTTTTTTAGAGCGCAGCTCTTAGGCCCCCGTTTACGGCTTGAGCGGCGTCGCCGTCGCCGTCGCTGTCGCCGTCAGCGTAACCAAGGTCACCCCAAGGTCATCCCAAAGTCACGTGACCCCCAGGTCACGTGACCCCTTCCAAGGTCGCGTGACCTCTTCCAAGGTCACTTCAACGTCACGTGACCCCCAGGTCACCCAAGGTCACGTGACCCCGAGGTCACGTGACCCCTCCCAAGGTCACCTCGAGGTCACGTGACCCCCACGTGACCTCCCAGGGTCACTTGACCCCCCAAGGTCACGTGACCACCCAAGGTCACGTGACCCCCCTCCCCGAGGTCACGTGACCCCCCGAAGTCACGCGACCCCCCCCCCGAGGTCACGTGACCCCCTCCCCCCGAGTTCAGGTGACCCCCGGAACATATTAAAGAATGAGGGGAGGAGGAGGAGGAGGAGGAGGAGGAGGGGTCTGCCCTCCCCTCAGTACTCTTCCCTCTTCCTCCTCAAGAGCTGCGCTCCAATTCGGCGTTACAGCGAGTTGTAAACGGCTTTCACTTTTTTCCCCTTTTCTTATGGTCTGTTGGAAAATGTTGACCGATACGGAGCCCTCGAGTTCATGCAGCTGAATGCCGCCAGTTACAGAAAACAGGCGAAAACTGACACCATTTTCCCATTGAAGGTTTTATAAAATTACCTTCATAACATTTGAATAAGATAAAGGTTAGTTTGGAACATTTGGCATCTGGTTCAGATTTCCAGCTTTAGATTTGGGCAGAAAATGACCGTTCGAAGATGTCGGGTTTATTTTTGAACCAAAAAAAATAATATTTTCTTCTTTTGCGTGGGGATATTGAACTTTTTTTAGGCTTGATAATCCACAGGATTTCACACAGCCAGTAAATAAGTTACGTTTTGATGTCGGCCAACGTTACTAGAACCACTCAGTTGGGAAACTGCCACTGCTCTGAAAAAGTGGCCCCAATCTGTCCACCAGAACCGAGCTAATGGCGAACACAACGCCGCCATTTCTCCCGCAGCGGCCACTCGAGGAACTGCACGTTCCTTTTATTTTGGCTTTAATCGGCCATTTTGGCGCCGAAACAGATACAGCGGAAGAGGTTACAGGGGTGCCACCTCCGTCTCCATAGCGGACGCGCCGCGAAATTCTACCCGAAGTTAAAATGCACCTAGGTCGGGACGCACTGCCTGAAAGGACCGCTGAGGCATGATTGTATAAAAACAATATTAATTGTTCCGCAAAACCTTGCAAACTAAGATTATAAAAACATCACGCGCCCTTCATTTTGTTCTAAACTCCAAAAAAATGCATACAAAAAGAGTCTTTTCCGTTTGTTTTTACGCAAAAACAGACTTTCTAAAAGCTCAAGGTGGCGGCAGTACAGACAAACGATAAAGAGTGGCGCTGTTGTCGTATTTAGCTTGGTCTCGGTGGACGCCAGCGGCCCAGGTTTCGACGGCGAGTTTCCCCAGTGTTCTAGTAACGTTGATGTCGGCACTCCATTCCCCCATGTTCCTGTGGGCGCCGCCATTTTGTGTTTTGTGCAGAGCGGCCGCAAATCGCGCATTACGATGCGAAAATTCTACTTCGAGCTTTTTAGACACTGTCAGGAAGCTCAGTTGATAGCATTTTGATTTGTCGGGGAATGTCAATATTTCTGGATGACAAAAAAGCGTTCCCTACGATTTAAGGCAAAGCTTCATGTAACGAACAACCGTAGTTTTAATTGCCAAAATGGCTAAAGTGTTGTTACTCTGAAGCCTGGCTTCTTTGGTGGCTCTAGGCTCCCCCTGTTGATCGCAGAGGTTGGCTTCCCGCGCTTTTCCACCAAGGTAGGTTTCAGTAAATACACTTTGTTCACCCTTAAGCTGAGACTACAGCTAAAACAACAAGCGCGAGCTAGACCGCGCTCCTGGCCTTGAGAAATATATTTCTAGCTCCAGCGCTGGTTCTGCGGAAGAACGCTTCAAAGCAGCGAATTCGAGCTCTCGTGCTTCTGGCGGTGGCTGCAGTCTGAGCTTAAGGGTGAACGGAGTATTGGGGGTATTCATTGGACGCCATGCTTGGGAGCGATATTTAGGGCACACGCTCAGAGCGAGCTCAAGGTAATAGCCTACTAAGACCGGCAATCTTGATGGTTGCATAATGCCCATTGCAAAAGAACTGCGGAAGCCCTCCCTCAGCACGCGGTCAGCAGTCGCGTACAGAGCTTTGGCAGCCAGTGAATACCTCCTATAAACACTTTTCTTTGTGTGACAGCAAGAGGTTGCTGTTATGGGCCCGTTTGCTCGAAGCTGTTACCTAACCGCGGTTAACCGGATTTCCGTACGAGGGGGAATTTCGGGTCACGTGACCGGCAGAGTAAGGGCGGCGGGGAAACACGGCGGTGCACCGGTGAGCGAGCGCCGCTCGCTTTGGAACTAATACGTCGTAGTAGCTGCAGAGGCGGGCGCGTTAGTCAGCAATGATTTGTGCAGGAGGTTTTCGCGTTGCCTTACCTCACTTAAAACGCAAAACATGAGCAATGACCTCGCCGCATTTTTTAGATAAACTTTCGACTCTGGCCATTCCTAAGCCTAAATGAACGCGATAGTTGTCGGCATAGTAACGTCTTTGGGAAGTGGATTGCCTTGACTCAATCGGCCGGGTATTGATAGCACACGAGAGCAGACAGCGTGCCAATAGACCTTTTGTTAAATTTCCCAAGCACCGAGGTGCATGCTAGGAGTGTAGTTACACGCGCTGCACCTGCTGGCGTCTGCAGTAATAACTGTTCTGAAGCAAAAAGCCTAAAACAAATTTTGCCGTGCACGCGCGTTCGTCAAAGATTTATTATGATTATTTACTTCGAATATTTTATAAAGGGAAGGCCTGCGCGCGCGGATAGTAGAATTACACTTTCAGCGTTCTTTTCGATGCTTGGGTAATTTACCAATCGGTCTATTTTCACTGGAGCCGAATAAACAGGTTTTTCAATTTATGACGGTGTTATTTACAGTTGTTACATGCTGGCCAACCATGCTGCCGGTGTACCACCCGCCTTTCACTGCTCACTTCTTTCTCATCGTTTCTAGGACTGAACTTCGTCGTCCTCTTTCGAACTCGGAAGGAAATTTCTACCAGGCTTTTCTTCACTTCATACAGCCAAATATTCGGAAGATTTCCAAACAAGGGTTAATTTAGTTTTACCTTGCCGATTATTTGTACCTCGAGCAATAAAAATTGTTTCTTAAGCTCAAATGTATGCCGCGCTGCGTCGCGAAAACAAGGCAACGGGCATTTTTTGGGTCCCCCCATTGCGGGAACTTTTCCACGGAAGCCATGTATATTCGCTACAGCCAGTAGGCAACACCAGCTGCCACCTCATAATAAAACATGGAGCTGTCGCTCATCCAGCCCTCGTCAAGCTTGGCAGGTACTTGTAAATACCTAGTAGGGAAGGGCGATTAACTTTTAAGCCCGGTTAAAGTTAACCGGCTTCGAGCAAACGGGCCATGATGTGCGCCCTAAAGTCCCTTGATGTGTTTGTGTTTGTCTTGCAAATATCGTCAAATGCGCCGGTGCATGAGGACCGTGTCTCAAGCGGCCCTAGAAAGCAAATGGCGGCGCAGCACTGAAATGAGCGGTCCTTGGAAGCAAATGACTTCGGAACACCCGCTCGTTGCGCTTGTCTCGCGGGTTTCCACAGCAATGCATGGCGGTACTTGTAAGCGTGAATTTTATCGAGGGACTTTAAGTGCGCCACAGCTCACCAACGGGTCCCCGACAATGGCGATTCCCAGCTGCAGCTTCCGCTTCATGCCCCACGAAAGAGAACTGGCCAGAGCGTCGCGCTTGGCGTCCAGGGAGAAGGCTACGAGGATGTCGTCGATCTTGGTGTTCGCCAGAGCCCATTCGTTGCGACGGACCTGAACGAGCGGAGGCGACTTTGAGAATGGAGCTTTTTCAGGAAGAGTTCTCTGCGTGCGTGGGCCTTCCTCACGCAACGGCGAAGACTCAAACTCTGGTACCTGGAACGCGTCTTCGACTTCTGTGTTTACCGCATCCTTAAAAAGTGGTCCCTTGATTTCCGTCTTTCAAGTCCATACTAGTGCCATGCCGTTGCCTGCCGTGGTCCGGACGGTGTGGTAGACACCTGTTTTGCTGCCGGTCGCTTCTGAGCCTGACAGCCCGTTCTTCACGAGCCAGGAGTTGGAACACCGCAATAAGAGAAAACACTCGCTTTCACTCAAACATTTTTCCGATATTTCTACGCCGAACCGCGAAGATCGAAACATTTTCGACAGCACGACTCGCCGGATTCCTTGACGACACTTGTGGCCACTTGGGGACCATTTTTGATGTATGGGTTGGTTGAGAGTTTAAGTACACCAGTCGAAGAAGCGTCCCAGGCACAGTGTCTGAACTACCAACGCGTCAATACCGATCCTAAAGGTGCTCTGACAAGGTTTTTGAGATTGCCTAAGAATGGCGATAACTCACTATGATGGCTCTAAGCATCCTAGAAATCCCAAAATTATGGCGATACGCGGCTATTTTTCCTGTTAAGAAAGCAATCAAAAATCGCATCACACCGAGGTCCTCTCCGGTGATTGGAGGAGCATGTTCCAAATCCAGGACCACTTTCAGCCAATAATACCAAGCCAAGGATCCTCGCCCCTCCGACCGGTGGAATTGCGCAGTCATATCTCGAATGCGCGAGGGTCGTTGCCCATACAGCCCGGACTATGGTTTGTCTCATCCAACGATGGACTAAAGGCCACAGCCACAGGCCGCCCAGGTCCAATCCCGTTCCACGCTATACTATGACACGCTTAACATTGATAAGGGGTGGATGAATAATGCTCGAATCCAAAAGCGCCGCATCATTTCGATAGCTTCGAACCTGCAAAGAGCCTATATGTCATGGCTTCCTTTGCGACGTAAAATTGTTGAGTGACTCAGTGCTCCTCGATTCGAACCACTGTCCACCCGTCCCCTAATCAGTGATTCGAGATGCGGGCACCGGTACGTGCATCGAAGCAAAATACCGCACAATTTCTAAGTGGCTCGTGATTGGATCTGGCGGTTCGTAGCTTTTGCCTTTAGTCCATCGTAGGGTAAGACGAAGTATATGATTCAACCAAGGAGGCGCGCGCTTGAGCTCTCGAGCGCTCGAGAGTTGACGACTGGACACATCACTCCCGCGGAAGAAAAAGAAAAAACGAACATAATGCGCTGTTTTTGAGACTGTTATTGTAGTATTATGCTCCCTCCGGAAAAAATTAACATGTCCTGACTAATCTTAGTTGCTTTTATCATCTGCAAACGCCTACAAATTTTATAGTAACAGTGTTTGTAATATGAAAGAAATGTCGCGTTTGCATTGGTGACACGTCGTCCTGGCTGCCGGAACAATGCTCCTCCCATTGCCGGAGATGACCTCGCTGTGTTCGATCTTGTACTGCTATTTTATTAAAGAAATCGGCCGCGCACAGCGATGATTTATGGATTTCGCAAAGTGAGTTATCTCCTGTTGAGGTCGACCTTGCATTCCGCACAGCGAACATCGAGCGGACGTCAAGACGGTTGGCATGCGATCCGAGCCCTTTTCGCACGTTCCACCTGTCTGACATGGAACCGAAGAAGCGTTCCTCTCAGGCCTCGGTTCAAGTGCATGGGAACAGACGTTACCGTCAGTGTGTTTTGTCCACGGCGCCTACGGCGTCTGCCTCCCGCGGAGGTATCTCCATTCTTCAAGAACGCCGGACAGTATCCGATCCTGGACGAATGTGCCGTGTGTCGTGTGCGCGTCTCCTGCATGTAAGCCAATCCTCCACTAGACGGCTTTAGTTCGGAGACTTAAAGACCAAGCATGAACGCCGAGAGGAGGTTGCCATGGAGCGGCAGCTCCAGAATCTTGTATTTTATTATAGAAGGACCTGTCCGGCTGCCGCTTGCGTGTGCTCCATTTGCCATTAAGCTACTACTCATATCCATGTAAATAAACTCGTTTATCCGTTCTTTTTCTTAGTCTCCCGCCCCCACTTCGGACTACGAGACCTCGGCGGTGGGGAATGGACACCGGCATGGGCCCTCCTGCCTCCGGACGAGCAACACCAAACCCCACTTTGAGCATACGATTTTTAGATCTCAGAAACAACATCATCATCATGAAACGATATTGGGTTGGAATGATCGTCACTTTAGCAGATGTGTACCGGTCCTAGTCGGGCCCAAGTATACTGGCACAGATCGGCCCTAACTCAGTAGTTTTTTTTGTTGTTGTTTTTTTTTACGGTAAAATTCCGAGGATAAAAGTGGACTATTTCTTTCAGTCATGCCTTCGCAAACCTTGATGACATAATTGTGGGATCGAAAACACCTACGTGACGACAGTCGAGCGCGGCTCATCGACTGGACACGAGAACTGCGTGAGCAGTCGACTTCGGCTCGTAACAAGCAATGCCTCGCCGGACACTCGGGCAGTGGCTCGTGTGCAACCACTGCAGTGATGGGAATAGACGAGCTCTAACAATGCCTTAAACTCAGCCCGCGTTTTTTTTTTTTTTTTTACTTTTTTTTTTTTTATTTTGCTTATTCCAGCCCGTAGGTATGAGTAACGTTGGCGGCATAGGACAGGCAACAGGCCACGTAGCCGCTTGTTCTGGCTCTAAGGCAAGCTCATTCAGTTATTAACGTTGGGGATTAATTCTAAATAGTATTTAACGCAAGTAGAGAAAAACTTTCATGACCCATTTAAGGCTGTTTGTTCATAGACTTGTGTCCGTTACGTCGAAAGCAACCAAAGCGACAGATCCTTCCTCAACACCGGAACAAGCGTAGCTCATGAATTCCCGAAACTCTTTTCTACATTGCATGGTACGTTGCATGCGGTGAACGCCTTTCCCGGTCACTTCGTCGGTTCTGTCATTTTAGTCGCCCTGAACCCCAGCCAGAAAACTATCTGAACCCAGGTTCACTCTTGCGAAAAGCTGCAGATGCTCCAGGACCGTGAGCCCCGGAAAGAGGATGTTCTCCTGCGGGCAGAAGCCCATGGAGCGTCTCGCCGAGTCCGTGTCCGTGGCCACGTCGTGCCCACCCACGATGACGGTGCCCTCGGTGGCCTGCTCCAGGCCCGTGATTAGGCGCAGCAGAGTCGTCTTGCCGGCGCCGTTGCGGCCCAGCAGCACCGTCACGTCGCCCGGGTACGCCTGGAGGCTTACGTGCCGCACGGCCACCAGTCGGCTGTACGCCTGGAAGACAGGGCTACCGTTAATTTCGGTGAGTTAAACAAGCAGAATGATGAGTTGGGCTAGTAGGTTCATCACACAGTAAAAGTGCTTTGAGTTGTCTTCGTCTTTACTGTGTCTCTGTCCTTCGGTGGAGTTGGTGAGTTAAGAAAAACTTGCCCACTGTAAAAAGCCATACGCACCCATGCGACCCATAACTAGGGTGTGTACTTTCCGGTGTTTATTTGTGAGAAAAATCGGCGGATGTTTTTCAGTGTTTATTTATTTTCAAAACACCGGTGTATTTCGGTGGAACGTCTCACGACGAGGCTAAAATCGGTGAATATCGGTGAAAAAAAGCGACTGATCACAGACAGAGAGTTCCAATTTTATTCACATAGTTCATACACTTCTTCTCTAGGAAGCAACTATTTCTAACACTTGGTTATCATAGTAGATGCAAGTATACTTTCATGCTTGCATCTACACGCAAGGAACGTGCTGCCGTCATAGCAGCACGTTCCTTGCGGTTCGCAACCCGCAATTATGAAAACGCACGCTCCTGTACGACACGAACGTTGGCAGTGACTTCCAGGAACCACAGCAACCTTTGAATACATGGCTTTCACCAACATCACTTGGCCAGACACAATGAAGAAAAGGCACGTGAGAGCCTACCCTCCACTGTGTTAATTTGTCCACAAAAGGGAGCCATGGGAGGCACAATAGGGGAAAGGCGTATGAGAGCTTAGCTTCCACTGCGTTCACTAGACGCTTTTGACCCCCAGAAAAGAGGGCGGACTGACGCCACCTGCAAGCCATGTATAAACACTGGAAGAATGCAGGATCCACGAGATAACACGTTTGACGAACCTCTACGGGGAAAGGGTTTCGCTAGGTCGGAAACTAGCAACGACCGGTGTTTTTCGGTTTTAACCAGGGCAAAAATATCCAACCACCGGTGTTTTTCGGTTTTAACCGATTTTATATTTTCGTCACCGACGGATGCTTATCGGTGTTTTTCGGTTAAAACCGGAGAATGCACACCCTGGGCCATAACCCATAACACCATGACGAAGTGCCCACACGAGGAAAAATTATAAAATGAAGTAGTTTTATTAGCGGACTGTGATTGAAGAATATCTCGATCCTGTTTATTTTGGGCATATTACGCACATCAAACACGCCAAATATTATTATAATGCAATTAAATGCAAAGGTGCAAACGAGCTACAGGTGCCAGCATGGATTCAATTTTCCAAGACCGTCGTCACGCCAAATATTGTTGTTGTTGTTAGCTGAATTTATTTATATAAAATGTCGCCAGTTGTCAAATTAGTGAAGAGAATTGGAAGAAAACAATGTCCTTTACGTGCCATTTGACAGAGAGTGTAGGCTGAAACGCCAGGGCCAGTTGTGAAATTGGCCTGTGCTTTCTTCATTGCAAAGACGCGTGTAATATGCCATATGGTTTTATCATATAGTACTACGGTATATCGGTCGAATGGGTGTATTTCTTTATTCTTTTTTTTTTTAATAGGGCTGTTACTCGATTCTAATTATTGCATTTTACGGACCATGCGGACCTCGGAGACGTACGGACCTCGGTCCATACATGTTTAAATTTAGAATTCACGCTGTGCAGACAAACTACAGGTGCCAACAGCATGGATTCAATTTTCCAAGATCGTTCATTGTGACCATGACGTTACGGATTTTGTGAGGATCCCCAGGTGGCGGGTTCGAATCCCGACCGAGGTGCCCGCAATATGACGGAGCCTTATTGCGGAGAAGGCGCCGTGTAACCGAGCTTTCGGTTGCATGTCAAAAGATTCCCAGGGGATCGAAATTAATCGTCAGTCCTCCGCTGGGGCGTGCCAGATGCCCGTCGTTGGTTTGGCACGTAAAAAACCCCAAATTTGATTTGACGGATTTTGTGATCTTGTGAATGACAATTTGCGTTAATGGGAATTTCTGTGTGACTTGTGCTTGCTTGTGCATTAATAAGGCTGGTAATATTCAACGTATCTTGTGTACGAGAATCCTTTACGAGCGAAGTACGCACTAGACGTGTAATGCATCGGGTGCAGACTAGGGAAAACTTATTTTTTGTTCAGCTGATATTTGCCCCTTCAAGCTATAAAAATGCGGTATATATTAGCCTGCATAATTTGTGCATCAACCAGTGTATCAAAATCTAGTAACACTGTAAAATTATATGTATAAAAGACATGGTCTTTTCACAAAACTTAAGCGAAAAAAAGAAGAATTCCAAATTCCATGTAGCATCGCTGTTTGTTAATGACGTGATTAGAGTGGATCAATAGAGAAAGAAAACGACAAAACCCTGAGGTCATCGCAAGCTATTCTCGTTAATGTTAAAAGCCGATGCAACATTTCTTTTCTTATTTTTTTAGTAAGTTATGTTTACAATATTTTTTTCTGATGTTTAAAAGCCATAAAACACGCGTTGGTTCGTTTATTTATTTATTTATTTTCACGCAATGGAAGTTGAGAAAAGAAGTCGAAAACAATTGGCATCATTCGCCCCTTCAACTTACAGCCAGAACAAGCGGCCATGTGATGTAGAACCGATTATGTGCGCCAATCTTTATTTTAGCCACGCGATGGGGTTGGCAAAACACGGGACAAGCGCTGAGTCCAACACGTTGTTGTGGTTCGGCTTTTCCGATCATCGCAGTGATTAAGGAATGAGCCATGGACTACCGGAATGCATGTCGAGGCATTGATTAGTGCTCAATCAGTGCTCCTGTTCACTGTGGGAGCCGCATTCAAATCTTGTCACCGCGGGGATCGCAAAGCTGGATGACGAAATCCTGGGGATTGCAAAACTTGATGACGGCATCTTGGTGTTCGCAGTGTGGAGAACACCAAAAATGCAATGTGCACAACCTCGTCCCCAAATTTTGCGGAGAGACGGGAAAACAACGTCGGCTTATATCCTTGAAAGTTAGCATTGACAAAGAAGACACTTTGTCAGTGGCGTTGCCTGCCAGAATACCTGGGTCCAGCAGGTGCCAGTAAAAACTTGTGTAAACTGACCAACCTTCCTACCCAATATCGTTTCACGACCTCTGTAAAGGGACCGTGAAGTTATTTTTCCATTTATTCTTATTTAGCTTTTCTTCTCAAATCGAAAGCGAAATTAAAATTCAACTGGTTGTGACACAGTGTTTCACCGGATGTGATGACTTCAAGCTGCCATCGAGCTTTTTCAGCATGCACACCATGGAACATGTCATTAACAAGTGATGACAAGGGCTGGCATTGCACTCATATGTCACAAACGGGAATCCAAATATTCGTCGACGGATCGATTGTTGACGTCCTTATACGTCTAAGTGATGCATTGCTCGTGTCCAATGCGTGAGCTGGACTTGGCTGACGTGCTTGGGCACCGCGGATACATCACACAGAAAAGGCGGACAGCTTTCTAAGGAAAGGAGGTAAGAAGGAGTCCGCTACATTTTCACATTTCCGAACTGAAAAGCAGGCTTTTCGCTTTCTACTCTGTGTACTAGTTTTCTTGTGACCCACCCAACAATTAGCGGTTAGTAAAACTCCAATCCAAAATCCTTTGTCACAACCCAAAATTGATTTCATGGTATCTTTAAGGACACACGATTTGTTTCCCCGTTATAAAACTTTGGACGACCCGCAGATTTAATGGTTTAATGGTGTTTCAGGCGAAGGTATGAGCTGTCACGAGGTACGCAAGGCTCGTTCAAATAATCATTTATGTAAAGAAAAAGAATACGAGACCCAATTGAATCCAGGCAATTTGTATTGAGAAGAAAATGAAAAAGGGTGTCTAATAAAAAAGGAACATGAAGATAAACCGAATCGAGGGATATGTACACAAGGCAATATTCACTTGAGTTCCGGTCTTTTCCGTTGGCGGAAGATGCTCAAGGTGTTGCGGATGTAGTTGCCGGGTTCTGGATCGTGGTTACCAAGTTCTCGATGATGGTAACGGGAGCCTGGATTCCGGACGCCGAAATTCCCAATGCCGATCGCTGGGCTAACCCGGACCTGGTCGGCACCACGCTGATGGATGCTTTGGCCACGGCGAAGGGATCTCGGGACCGGGTTTCTTGGTGTCCTCTCACCGACGGAGCTCCGGCAGCCTTCCTGTTGCCTTGCTTCAGCCCGCAACTCGCTGACTGGTTCTGGTTTGGGTCATGGCACCCAAGCGCCCAGGCCCGGCAGTTCGTCGCGATGGCTGCACTCCGACGACCGTTCGACGATCTCTCTCACTTCTTTTTTCTTTTTTCTCCCCCCTCGCGCAGCTCTCAGCTTTTTCTTCTTCTTTCATGAATCGACCATGACATGAGCTATAATCACGCGCTCAATACATGGCTCGCACGTTGCGTCATGGCCCCGCGCTGGTGGTAATTTTGGGTCATTCTTACTTGTTCTTCCCACGAGAAACGAATTGGCAGGTGCGAAATAGAGGCTCGAGAAGGTACGCGCTCAACCTCCAGACCACCTCGATGGCTGCTGATATGATGTCAGTGCATGTCATGTATAGCATTAGGAGGATCAGGCGCACATTTTCAGCCAGTCCAGGCTCCAGATGTCGATGTCACTGCTTTACTAATGCCTTCAAGATGACGTCACTAAACGCTCCTATTTGCCAGCGATCGGCGCTCCATTCGAAAAAGCATTTAGCTTTCTTCTTTCTCTCGAAGGCCCATTTAAGGAATAATACTTTGTAGCGTCAAATGGTTTACTAAAAGATACAAATAAAAGGGCGTCCTTACTGGACACTACGTTTTCCGCTCACGGCAAAAAGCCGTATTCGCGTCCCGTAGGCGTGCAAACCGCTAGGTAATTGTTTCGTGTGCCCATATGGGGAGCGTATACGGTTTTTGTTTTGCGTGTGAGAACTCGTGTCCAGTGTGTACAGGCCTCGGCGAGCCCTGAAGTGTTGCAAAACGTATTCGCTATTAACACGAAGGTAATTGATGTCCACCAATTCATTGGCTCCCAGATGATCGAAA